AGAAAATCAAAGGAATAAGTAAATCTAATCACCTGAATTTCTTGCTTCAAATCTTTGTTGATGTTCACCTTGTCACCCTTGGATGATAACCAACTTGAGGGCTGGTTCGCCTCATTCGTCTTAGCTTCATTCTCAACCCGTTTGGTAACCTCCCTTTTACGCTCTTCTTCCAGAACCGCAACCTGTAAGGATCAAGATGTTAAAACTGGAATAATAAAACTAACAGAAAGAAAGAAAGAACGAAAGAGCTTAAACCACTATAGGCTACAATTTCTCTTCTAATCTCCTTCCTTAATCCAGAATTCTCAACAGGAAACATTGGATTTAAGATTTACTTATCTCTTTTGTTGTTATGCTTGAAACATAAATTAGAAATGCAATAACCAAGCAAAAGCAATGAATTACAGAAAAATGAAGCAAATATCTTCTTTACTGACAAAGAAATAAGACTAAAAATTGATGGGCAAGCACAAAAATAACCAAGTTCCAAACCCATAGCTAAACTACAGAAAATGAAGCAAATTTCTTTACTAACAGAAAACCATGATTTTGAAACCACAGTTCATAAGAATAAAATATAAAATTGATTTAAATCTGTACCCAAAACCTGTACCCAAGAACCCTGCTACGGTGCTACTACGTATATACTACTTAGTAAATACACGTATACATAATACATACACATATGTAACCATACGTATGTATATACTTACTGGGGTGTAGCGGAACTTGCGTTTTGGAGGTTCCTCCATGGCGCCGGAGATGGAGTCTGAGGAGGGGAGAGGGGTCCATCGGCAAAGGAGGATGCTGCTGCTGTTGCCGTTTCCGTTGTGACCGTGGGACAGGGAGTTGTGGTGACTAACAGTCGATGGAGGCGAGACGTGCACCCACTTCTTCTTCCACTTCCTGACCGGCCCGTTGAACACCGCTGTTGGACCGTACCTCGCCGACGACCGACCCAGCCTCGTGGACCCCACACCCTCCATTTGATTCTGAGCAAGCTTCCGATTTCTACCTTTAACTGTGACCTAAGTCCCTCCGCCGGAGTCGCCGGAGAGGCTTATCGGAGCAAAGGGTTGAGGCTCTGACTCTCAGAGAGAGTGAAAATAGTGAAGTTCTTTTGGTACGGTGACTGCGGGAGGTTCTTAAAGTGGAAAGGAAACTGGTTTATTCTAAACGGTGTCGTTTCTCTAAAAATTTATACTTTTACCCCTCTAAACTTTTAGAAAGTTATCCATTTAACGCTCAAAGTAATTTTTGTATCAACATAAAGATGCTCACTCAAAATTAACAAATAGATTGTGAGGCTAAGGAACATGCAAATTACACCTTAGTTAAAGATTTATACAAGAGAGAACTCCAAGTTTTTATGTTGGAAGTGCCTCAAATCAAATGATTTTAGGTATTTCTTTCTCTTAACATGTTTCAATGTATCATCCCAAGTCATATTCAAGGTGAATTTTTATTTGTACATGTGACAATATGACAATAAGGGTTTTTTAATGACATAAGTTAAAAATGTATTAATCATATATTTTTATCATTAATTTGTATTAAAAAATTAAAAAAAATTTCATTCTATCAATTGTCTAATTGAAAACTTTTATCTAATACTGATGATAAAAATAAAATCAAACCTTATAATTTTCTATAAAAATTAAATATAAAAAATAACAATTAATGCATTTTTAATCTATATTGTTACATGTTAGATAAATTTTATTTTTTAATACCAATTAATATAAAAATATATATAATTACACTGTATACCCTAAGAACTCATATTAGAAAAATCCAATGGTAAATTATAGAAATTAGTACTTATTTTTCTCTTGATACAAATGCAGTATACTCCAATGAGTGGTAAGCTGCACATGCCAAGTCTGGTCTCCATTAACTTTTGGTCCATTCATGTTGTTTCAGATTCATCCAACATTAGGCTTTTTCTTTTCTTTTCTTGTCTTTGGCCATCCATCATGAATAAAGATATAAGAGGCAAATTTTATGAGATTAAAATTTAAAACCAATAATATGATATAAATTATATTATTTAAAATGTAAATAAATAAAATTTATATTATTTAATAATTATTTTTTTACTTTATTAAAATTAATGATATCATACACTTTCTTTTTTTTTCATTAATCTTTTGGTATCTGATAATCAATTTTTTATTAATTCAGAATTAAACCGTATCAGATTCTATTAAGAAGTAAGCTCTCTCAACACCTATTTTTTCATTTATAAGACTCAAACTTAAAATTTTACTTTAAAAAATTGAATTCTTTGCACTCAAAACTAATAACTCAATAATAATACATTAATTTATTTAATATCATAAATTATGTCACATTATTCTTAAATTTTCCGTCCTTTGTTTCGCTAAGTCATCTCAGACAAGACTTAATTGATGACACGTGTTCGGGCAATTTCTTCTCGTTCATTTCATTTGTTCTGAAAATTCAATGTTGGATTTGGATAAGCTCACGGTTAACAACATGCACCTGAATACAACAGCGTGGAGCTACGTTGGGCTTAAGGTCTCATTCAGGCCCAAAAAGGATCTGTGCTAGTCTGGGCTTCATGCCCATATAAAAATGCTTCTCCATTTTTTGTCCTTTTTGATCTTTTTTTTTTTTTATTTTCTCCAAAGCTTTTGAGAGATATAATATGATGCAAATTTTTCTGTAAATTATTCCCAAATAACTAGTAGTATGGTTCAATTAGGCCTTGAATATGTCATCCAATCAAACAATTGCTGACTTTGTAGTTCCATTTAACTTGAGTCTAGTTACAATTTTAATGGATTCAAAGCAAAGTTAGCACATGACAAGTTTTAGATTCATTTGTTTACTATATTTATTACCAATTGTTTTATTTTAAAGATATATTTATTCAAGTAATAAAAAAATTGTATTCAAAATTTTGAGTAGATAAATTCAATGTCAGCTAATTATGTTTGAAAACTAATTTTCCAGTTAGATTGACATTGAAATTATTAAAATATTTTTAATGAAACTCTTCTTTATTTTTATTTATTAATAATAATTTAATAATTTCTACAGTGAGATTACATTTTTAATGTGCAATCTAAACTAAAATACATTATACTCAATTATGTTTTATGTTTTATGTTTTATGTTTTTGTTTTTATTTTTATTTTTATTTTTTTAATGTAAAAGGGCATGTCAATAAATGTTTATTTCATGTCATCTTCATTTTGAAAGTTTTGGCCAAGCATGTAATAAGAACAAATTCACTATGACATAGGTATAATATCATTAAGATTCTAAGATTATAATCATTATGTAATGTTAAAT